AGGTGAAGATTGCACTATGGCTTGCGTAGCTGTCCGACCACAAAGTACCATATATCTAGTATCTCATTCTTGTTCCGGCCATTTATCCTGGCGAGGATGTTTATGAAGTGGGGCATTTCAAAGCTGGAGAGGTTTAGTTGATGCAGAAGCCATTTGTTGACAAAATCTGGTGGAGTGTTGGTCGGATTTTTCTTTTCGCATAGGCCCTGCTGCGCTCTTTTGATCGGGGATTCAGGCAAAGAAGCGTTGCTCAATTTATCCTCTAGCTCCTGTAGTTCGTCTTCCTGTTCCTGTAGGCCAACTCCCTGTAGTCCAACTCCCTGTAGTCCAACTCCCTGTAGTCCAACTCCCTGTAGTCCAACTCCCTGTAGTCCAACTTCCTGTACCTGACCGTCCCGCAGTTCATCTTCCTGCCTAGGTTCCTCAGAAAATGGTAGTGTAAGTCTCAGCTCCTTGCATTCTTGCGCTATCTGTTGGCTCTCTTCAGCTATGGTGGCTAATCTGTCCAGTAGCTCCTTTTCAGAAGCTTCAAATTGAGCAAGGAAGTTTTCTGATTCAATATCCAAAGTAGACTCAGTGTGGCCTCGCGCCTTCTTCTCCTTAAGCAGCCTGTGACGTTCCGAATGCAAATCATATAGATCGTCATTGATGAGTCCTTTTTGCCCAAGTAGGAATATATACCGGGCAATAAGTGGATGATCTCTCTCGATCCCAGCAAGAATACCTGGCCACTGGGTTGATATGTCATTATCCGAATCGTCTGAAACTGTCCTGCTGTCTTCCTCACTTCTGGGATCCATACGATGGAGTTCTTTAAGCACTTTGTCCGATCTGACTTTTAATGCATATTCAGTCCCTATCAAGTGGGACTCAACTTCGCGAAAGTCATCCTCAAGACCAATATAGATCTCATGTTCGTGCTTAAACTGCTCGAAATGCTGAATGACAGGTTTAATAGTTTCTTGATCAGCCTTGGCCAAAAGCGCATCTATCCTTTGCATCAGCTCCGTCCCAGTGTTCATTAGATGGTCACGTTTCTCCTCTCGCTCAAAAAGTTGCTCTCTGGCTTCGAGTCGCTCATCTGATGCCTGTGCCAGTTTCTGGGATGTCTTTTGGAGAAGCTTTTCCAATCTCTCCAAATTCCGACTAGGGAGGTGGTTGGGAAGTTCATGCGGTGGGCCTGGGATCCCATCGGTACTATGTCGATGCAACAATCTTTCGCGGTGATGCATTGGATGTCTAGGCTGGGGCAGTGAGGAGCGGTATTCCAAATTTGGGAGACTGCTTGGATCCTCTGCGACATTATTTATGTCGGAATCTAGAAACTCAACCGGGTTGTTCCTGGAGAGGGCAGTGGTTTGGCTGGTTATGCTATATCGTGGACTAGGTGGGTCATTCTTCTGTACATGGAAGTTTGTTAGCAACAAGTCTATAGCAATTCTTCAATGAGCGCTGCGGATGTGGAATGGAGACTCGCCGTGTTATTGTGGGAAGTGACCCTGATGCGGCGCAATAATGCTTTGAGCCATGTCGGCAGTCGAATGCGCAAATTATCAATACGACTAGCTATAAAGGAGTGGTTAGATGACTTTCTCTCATACCAGCTGAAGCAGTAGCCTTACAAGACTTGACAGGATGTTGTCCATCCATACCCAGCAAGGGGAATCGCTCGGGACTGCTCTGGACAGTTGGCGGCCAGAAGATGAAAATTATCAATAAAAGTCAAATGTAATCCGCTAGCGAATGAAGAAGCTCTGGATAGCTATCGGCCTACAGTGGTAGTACCTCATTTATATAGATTTCCCCTCAGCAGGCCTTGTGCTATTTCTAGGGAGTAAGCTTCCGCCAGAACATTTCCTTGGCACCTGTTGGTCCCCACCAGCCTTTGGCTCCCACTGCCTTGTGTAGGGGGATCCTTTGACAGCCCACGCGCCAAGCCCCGATCCGTGTCCTGAACACCACCAATTCGCTGTCATGCTCGTGTGGCTTTCCCCCAACACCTTGTGGTTTGTGCTTCTCACGGTGTCGTCCCGACTCATACATCTTTGGCAATAGTAGTCGAAGCTAATGCAAGGAGGGGTCTTTTACCTGTTTACACGCCACTTGGCGCCGACAGGCATGCTTGTGAATGGTAGATTTAGAAGTTCTCCAGCTGCATGGCGCTAGCCAGGATTTGACAGGGATATGCTCAGTATGAGCGGTGGTCGGGCGAACAGCAAACCTAGGAGACAAGGCGACATACTACAGAAAGGGAAGTTAAGATTGAGACATACTTTCGAATACAGTTGATATCACATTTCTTTGCATTTTCTCAAACAGACCTTGTCCTTGGGATTAAAAGCTCCACAATTGATGGGAGGATCTGATGATATTCTTTTGGTTGCCCTCAAAGGGGGAAAAAAAAAATCCTGCTCCTCCCTTACAGAGAGACAAAGAAAAGCCAAGCAAAGAAATAGCAAAGAAACTGATACGGCGCAGTCCGCAATTCTCCGCTTTACCCTGACCGGCCTCCCCAGTCAACATATGAAATTCATCCAACCGTTTTTGCGAATCGGGCTCCATCTTTTCATTTTGAGCAGCTATCCACGCAGCATATTCTTGTAAAGCTATCTCAGCAAGAGCAGGATGCTGAAAAGCCTGTTGTTCGATTTTCGCCTTGTCTATGATTAGCTAGCGACTATTCATCTCGTACTTTGCGTGCACATACCTTCACGGCCTGAAGCGTAAACCTAAAATCCCCTGAGGTCTCGAAATCCCAGCCCGCAGGAAATACGTTGAAATTCCAAGTGCGCTTCCAGGGTGCGTAGCCAATCAACATCATCTGGAAAGGAAGACATTGAGGAGTGGAGGTCGCAGCGTCCATCTTCATCATCAGTGGCAAAATACCACTCAGCAATAGAAAGTGCTTTTACTTCGTCGCCTGAGAGCCTCTCGTAGAACGGCATTAGATCCTCTCTCGGTATCAAATCGCCGTTTAGAGCCCAGCAGCATGTAATAATATCCTTCAATGTGGCAATGGCTGCCTTTTCAAAAACAGGCAAAGAGCGCTCAAAATTGCTGGCTGTTTTCGCTGCCATCCTGTCTTATTCGCTAACTTCCATCTACCGAACCTATATCTAGCACTGCCGCGGCATTTTCTGACGTGATGATCTCCTAGGATCTGGAAACGGGGACCATGCTCGCTTTCTCGCCTGAGACGCCCTTCGAGAGCCGGACGGTAGAGAATCGTAACCCTGAGCATCGATGCCTTCGAACAACGAACAATCAGCTTCCATTGATCAGGGTACAAGAGCACTATGACAAAGATCGAGATATAAAACATGCCTTGCTTCAAAAGAATATTCTCCAGGTAAGTAATTCTCCTTTTGAGGTCGTCGATCTCCTGGTAGACGGGCTTACGGCGATAGTTGGGATCGTATACACCTAACCTCGGCTGGTTAGAGATACTTCACTAATCCAATCGGCAAAGGAAGATGAGGACGGCGATATACATTCTGTATGATAGGTAGAACAGGCTGCACAGCTGGGTGTCTTTCCGTCACACTGGGGGAACCCATTGTCAGCAAAACCAGGGTGAAAACCAGGGTGAAACTTGCCTTGGATTTTCTTGCCCGGCAAGCAGTACATGCCATTGCGACGTGCCGTCTATTCACCGCAGTCGCAGTGGCAATGGCACTGTCCTTCTCTCTAGGCTTCGCCTTCCCGGTGTGCGCGAAACTTAACCCGGGGGGGGAGATTTCAGCTTTTTCTGGTAATCGGGCGATCGGCGCTTCCCTTCCCATATGCTGGGATATCTGGTGCTCTCCGTCAGGGCAGGAAGTTCCGTCTGCTTGAATACTCTGCCATTCAGCCTTGATTGGCTGAATTACATCCTCGCTGATGCCCGATGATAGCGTGCTATCGAGTGGGACCAAATAGTTGGCATATTGGTCCCGTATCCTAGGAGCGTATTCCGGCAAAAGCAAGCCCTGAGCGAATATCTCAGAGCTTCGGTCATCATGGGAGGGAAATGATGTGGATTGTAAAGAGCCGCGGTAGCCTCCAAGTGAAACCTCCTCGTAAGAGGACTCTTCCCCTATTTGTCGGTACATGGTAATGGGGGTGATTATCAAAATACAGACTGAGTGTTAGCATTATGGGTTCCTCCTACCTCCTTTATACCCGCAGACAAGCTACCTTTTCTCCAACAGTTCTGCTGGCCATATCAGGACTACTGTCGTTTCTGGAAGACGGCGAGCTCTAACACCAGCCAAAAAGATACTAGCCAAATGAGGGAACTTTTTTTGTGATATAACATACATGTGTACCCTGGGAGGCGGAACCATCGCGGTCGAGATCGAAACCGTCTGACAATGTACATCACAAAAAAAATTTCCTAATTTGGTCAATGTCTTGTTGCTCACCGTCTCCAGACACAGAATTATTGGCTTGTCCACCTCAGCCATGCAGACAAAAGGGAAGAAACGTAGGGCCAAGTTCTCTGCTCTGGAAAGCGGGATTGGTAGCCTTATCCGCCGAGCCACAATGTCGGTGAAACGAATCTGGCGGTTTTCTCAACCCAGCTCTGGCGTATAGCCTTGTTGCCTTTCGCTTTGGCGGACAGCCTAAACATATAAGACGGCTGACATCCGTCCAAGTGCAATAGGAGGAAAGGGACACGATATTTACCCCTTCTCTTTTTCGTTGGGAAAAGGAGCGCGGTAATGACGTTGCCCAAGCACGTGATGCACAGCTATCGTAGCGAACACCAGAGTGGGTGGGGGCGGGGCAATGTACGCCAGCTGACAGATTTACATCACACGCGGATGAACATTTCGGCAGCCCTGAAATCATCTACAATTTTCCTTCTCACCAAGACCCTTCCTGAGATACCAAGAGACCAAATGAGCCAGGAGCTTCCCTTCGACATCATACCGTGTCAACAGCCAGACGACGGCCTGATTTCCGACGCACAGAAGGAGATTCAAGACCAGTTGGATAGGGCCGCGAAAGCCTCGCACTACCGCGGATATGTCAATCTAGGCTGGGGCAGCAAATGCGAGCAACTGTTCCATTATGGACTGGATGTGAGTCTGCCTCACCATCTGCTGGATCACCCATTAATGTCGCGTGCAGTTAGCGAGGAACGACTTCATCGAGCGCGAATGCGGGCCCTATAAAGACGCCGAGAAGGACGCACAAGTTATCTTGATGACAGCAAATTACTACCCGATAGCCAACGTTATTCCAGGCCGTGACCTCATCCTGGTCTATAGGCCGTTTAAGGATACACTTGACTCGAAAAATGGGCTTTTTGGGCTGCTCAATGGGCGATGCATCTCTTCACCTCAGGCCGTTGATCGCCTGCGGCCAGATCAGGCTCTGATTCTCGATGGAAATATTGCAATAAAATACCCTTTGTCTGGAGGAGGTCTTTGCATGTTACTTGGAATTAAGAAGAAGAAGGCTTAGTCACGGCTAGCATTGCAGAATATTACATTTAAGATATATGAAACATCGCAATAGTTAAAAATCACAAGCGTAGTAGTTCCACCAGGAGATTAGAAGTAGGCATCGGAGCCGGGCCTGGACCGCATTTCTGGTCCATTCTGGAACCCAACTCTTGACGCCTAGGGAATATTTGATTGTTGCGAAGGATCGTCAAATGGCAGACCAGAAAGAGCGGAAGCATGGTAGGGCATGTCGAAGAGCACAAGTGAAGGATCATCAATGGGCGGACCATTTAATGGCTGGCCGTTGAATAGCGCAAGTGAAGGATCATCAATGGGTGGACCATTTAAAGGCTGGCCGTTGAAGAGCGCAAGTGAGGGATCATCAATTGGCGGACCAGAAAGAGCAGAAGCCTGGTAGAGCATGTCGAAGAGCACAAGCGAATGATCATCAATGGGCGGACCATTTAATGGCTGGCCGTTGAATAGCGCAAGTGAAGGATCATCAATGGGCGGACCATTTAATGGCTGGCCGTTGAATAGCGCAAGTGAAGGATCATCAATTGGCGGACCAGAAAGAGCAGGCGCCTGGTAGGGCATGTTGAAGGGAAGAACTGAAGGATCGTCAACAGGCAAAGTAATGAATCGTAAGCAGTGGAATTTTGGGAGGGCATATGAAAACATGACTCGTTGGGCAGCCGATGGAGGCCTGGGAGGGAGCGTTGAGTCGTCGCTCCTTGAACGTATGAGCGGATCTGGGCGACAGAGGTGTGTGTCGCATATTCACTGACGGCACATATGCATTGTAGCGGATGGTCAACGACGAGTCCGATAGCAAGATCTGTGCTAAGTGACAGACTAGCTTGTGCT